CTATCATTAACTAACTTCACAGAGGAGTGCCCTGATGCTGAGAATAGAAGAGGCTATTTAGTCATCTAATGCCACCTAACAAATTATCCCCAAACTTAGCAAAACCATGAACATTTATTATGTTCTTATTCCTGTGGATCAGGTATCTATCCATGGCTGAGCTGCCTCTTCTGCCTCGGGGTCTCTCCACAGGCTTTAATCAAACTATTGACCAGAGCTGTGGTCTCACTTGAAGGCTCGACTAGGGAGGATCAGTTTCTAAGCTCACTCGACACAGCTGTTGACAGATGAAGATCCTCACAGGATGTTTGACTGAGGGCCTCAGTTCTTTCCCTGTTGGCCAAGGGTCTCCTTCAGATCTTTACCCTATGGATCTTTCCTCAGAATAGTTTGCAACATACTAAGTGAGAGAGGGAGTTAGCAAGCCAGAAGCCACAGTCTTTAGGTGACCTAACCTCAGAAATTACATTCCATCTCTTTGGTTGTACTTCATTGGTTAGAGGAAAGTCACTAGATCCTTCCCCCCACACTGAAGGGAGGTGATTAATTAAGGGCTGGCACATTAGATGCAGTGTGGTGGGGGTGGTGGGGGGGTGTCCCTGGGCCATTTGGATGCTATTCATCACAGAGGTCATGTAACCTTTCCAAAGTCTCATTGCTAGGACATTTATTAGCTACCTTTAGGAGAGGGGCTCTCAGTCCCCACCAAAGAGAATGAGGATGGGCTGGAAAAGACAGCTCTTTCTAGCCCAGGGATCTCCTACTTGCTATGGCTTTCTGTAAACCACACCAAATACCTCTCTCATAGAAACCAAACAATGTTTCCTGCCCAGCCCAGGAGGCTGCCTGTGGTATATGAACTGAGAAATATTAGCTTTGAAAATCCACACCCTCAGGTGCCCACAAATGGGGGGCTGGGTGGAAAATTGGTCCATCTATTAACCTTCTGAGGCTGTGATCATGTTTAAACTGAAAAAAGGAGGCATAACCAGGTCCTAACCTGGTCTTATAAAATTATTTCTCCTCCAGATTTTCTTGCCTCGCATTGGAAAATCCAAAATAGCTGCTCATAGCTCCTCTCTGGGGATCCAAGAAATACCACAGTCCTTTGGTTTCTCCCCCACTAAAATGAACTCTCACTGTGTATCACATCTCCTGCGCCTGGTGGAAAACTCTCGATTACTTTGGAGGGATCACTCTTCATCTTCCTCCCAACCCCACTGGGCTGGCATGGTCCTGGGCAACCCGTTCAGTGCAAAGTAATTAGAGGTTACTTCCCCACTATCATACATAAGGTGGGGGGTGGGCAGCGATGCTTGTCAGTTTTGTTCAGTGGTGTGCACCATCAGTGCCCTTTACATAGCAGACGTGCAAAAAATCTTTGTGGAGTGTCAAGTGAATATTTTTGGGCTTGTTGCTATACCTCTTGCCCAAACACACATGTTGCCTCAAAGGCATGGACAAAAGGGTCTTCACCAGTCTGGGGGCCTGAGCCCCAGAACGTGATACAGGCTTTTCCTTTTGGGGTCTCACAGGTGGTATGTGAATCAACAGTGACCCACTCTGCACTAGAAGTCTCCTCTGTTCTGGAACACCTGATCCCACCCTTTCCAGTTTCCAGAAATTTATCCCTATTTAGTCAGATCCACCTCCCCATTCTCTAATGCCCCATATCCCACTGTGCATCCTAGAAAGGATCTCTCTTCTCAAAAACAAAAGCCTCATTCTCAACTTCACCCCTCTGGGTGGGCACAGGGGAGCCATTGACCCCCTGGGGTGGGGAGTAGGCAGAGGTAGTTTTAGCTTTTCTACTCTCTGATCTTCCCTAGAAGGGAAACAACACCTGAATTTGTCTCTCAGCCACTTTTCCAGCATAACGTGCCGGAGTAGTCTTCACATCCAATAGGAGACTCTGCATGAAGGTGAAGTGCTTCACATCTTAGGAGACCTGATCCTCCTGCAAAGCACCCCACCTGCAGCTTTCAGGGACATTGTCAAGGGAAGGAAGTAGCACAAGGTAAAAAGCATCAGGCAATGACAGCTCCTGCCAACATGGCATGGCTGCCTGAAATCCTTACATCATAGATTCATGTCATTGATCTAGGGAGAGGAAAGATGATCCCCCTTTCAGGCCCCCAGGCACAAACATCCTTGGAGCTCCTCCCTGCCACACGCAAATCCATACTGGCTAGCAGAAGACCACAAGAACAAGACTTGGACTCCAAATAACCATCGTGCAAAGCCCACATTTATTGGGCACTTACTAGAGACCAAGTACAGTGTCAGATGCTTTTCATGACCATTTTAAACTCCTCTGAGCCCCAGTTTCCTCATATGTGAAGTGGGGATATTCATTCCTATCTCAAAGACTAAGATAGTCATGAGAGGACTGATGCATTGGGATGGTGACACAAATATGTCTGATGCCACTTCCCACACTCATCTTTACTATGTCCTATTGCCTCCTTCAAATCCCAGTAGTAAAGTATCAACACCAAAGGAGGACAGATAGGGTGTGGGAAGTCAAAGGGACTCATGGCCAACTGGGCAACCTGGGAAGGTTTTGTGGAGGAGAAACCAGGATTTGAAGGATGAGTGGTCTTTGACAAGTAGCGCATGTGAAAGAGCATTCCAGGGGCAGCAAAGGTGTGTGGTGGTGGGAAAGCACGGAGAAGGTTCTGGGCACTCAAAGTCACTCTCTCAAGCTCATGTATTGGTGAAGTGGGGAAGTCAGGGAGAGAGAAGATGAGAAAAATGGGCCAGGGCCACATTGCAGAGAGTGGGGAGGGGTCAACCTGGGACAGCTCTGGGTTTGACCAGCCTGTGAAACGTTACACCATCCCCAAAGTCTAGGACATCCAGCACCCAGGTGCCCAAGTCATTTGCTGAGGCCAAGACACCTGAAACCTCACTTTCCTCTGGACTGGTGAAGCCACAGCTATAATTCCCTGACCCCTTCTTTCAGCCACACAGATGCAGGTAGAAAGGGGGTAGGAAGAGGGGAGCCAATCCATTAGAGACAGAACCTGTTCCTTTGGCCATGGGGTAGCCCCTAAAGGGACATTTCAACTCAGACCCAGCTTGAAAACCAACCTGACTCTTTCAAAACATTTTTTCTCTTCATACCAGCTTTTATAGAGCATAGGAAGAATCCTGATTAGAGAGATTATATTTTTCCTTGCTAATACAAGCTACAGTGGAGGAAAGACTTCATTATACATATACTGAGATTCTGGGTAAGACCACATTTTTGTTCTTGTTTAAAGCCTTCACTACTAACAATATTTTTAAAAAATAAATTTTTAGCCACACAGATTGTCCAACCCTTTCATTGAGTGAGGAACTAGAGGTCCAGAGATGGCCTGGGAGTTGACTAAGGCCACACAGTAGTGAGGGGCAGAGCCCAGAGCCAGGGGCCCAGGGATCCTGTGGACTCCAGTCCAATGCTCCCTCCATATCCCAATGATAGCTCTGTTTGCTGGCCAGAACTGCTGGGCCTAAGTAGGGGAGTAGAGTGGGCCTAGGGCTCAGGGTTCAGTTTGGCACCACTTAAGGGCTTCTCAAAGCTTCACCATACTACCCACACACCTTATAGAACCTGGCTCAGTCATTCCTCCACTGAGGGAGGGCTAATCCATCCTAGAACGAGCTCTGGATGAAGAATCAGAAGCCTAGGAATCCAGCCCTGCTGGGCCAGTACAGTAGCACCAGACTGCTCTTGTCACTTTTCTGGCTTCCTTGGCTGTAAGAAACAAAAAATATAAGCCCCCCCCCCAAAGCAAATAGACATGTGGAAGTGTGCGCCCCTGTATGTATAATCATGTGCAGAGTAAATTCAAAACCAGCTCCGGGGTCACACTACCTGGGATACACAACCTCACTTGTGTGCTGTGTGAATTTGGGCAAGTAACTTAAATCTCTCTGTGCGTCAGTTTCCTTATCTGTAAAATAGTGATAATAATAATAGGACCTGCCCCCATAAATGAGTTGTGAGAAAATTAAGCAAGATAACCCTGTACGTGTTCAGCACTTGGGATAGTGCCTGATATGCAGTATGTGTTCTGTGAAACTGTTAGCTGCTGCTCTTACTGTTCTTTGAACCTCCATCCACCCCACACTCCCCACCTACTGCATGACACATGCTTGGAAGACACAGCTGTCTGTGTGCCCAAGAACCTAACCCGGTGCCTGGGGCTGGTGGAATCAGGGTAGGGCAGGGAGGGGAACTGCTCAGTAGAAATAATAATACATAATAAAGCAGGTGCATGCATCACACTGCATCCCCCTTCCCCTCAAGCTCTCCGCCCCCCCCCCCACACCCCAAGCAGCTTCCCTCAGAGGTTAAGACTGGTGAATGAAATTTGAATGATACACATTCCTATGTTTGGTGTTCAGTAATAATGAGCTTGTATGCTAGGTGAGTCAGCCAGGCTTGGTTCCCAGTCTATGCCATATATACGTATATATTTCCTTACAATTCCAGAGCCACAGAGTCAAGGATCCTGGAAACTCATTCATTCAACAAGCATTAATTGGGTGCGTGGCAACCTACTGTTTTGTGAGTTGGAAGGGTGTAGAATATTATTTAGAAGCTACACAGGGACAGGTGAAGAACTTAATACCATTGGACGCGTGTTCCCTAAGTGCTTGTTCCCTGAATGTTGAGTATACTATACTTATGTGACCTTGTTTATGAATTAATGAGGACCAGCTAATCTGTTAGAAGGCTTCAATTTGCAGTTTTGCGCAAAAGTCCTTCAGCCTTAACAGAGCAGGACCTGTTTTTCTGGGTTGGGCAAACTCCTTTGCCAGTTAAGAGCTTTCTGTGCTTTTAAAAGAGGGCGGCACCCTGTCAAATAGACCCTAAAGTATAGGCTAGAGGTGCGTGAAGTCCCACCCACTTTTTGTGACGTCCTGTGTCCCAGCTTCTGATTGCCCGCCTCCGACGTCAATCACCGGGCGTGTGTCTTGCTGGGACACAGTGGAGGTCTAACCTTTAGTTTGCGGAGCGGTCGGGTGTATTTGCCGCACGCCCCCAAGCCCTCGAGGCCCCCTCCACCCGACCCAACGGCGGAGCCGGCCAGCGCCTCCCGTGGCAACCTCCCATACCGGATCGCTCCTTGCTGGGGCGGAACCTGGCCCGGCGGCTCCAGTCACTATGGTCAGTGGTCTTGGGCAGGAAAGACGAAGGGGGAGCGGGAAGGGGGCGCGGTGGGCGGGGTCGTGGCCGGGCGCATGTGCACTCGAGGGGCCGGGGTCGGGCGCGGGACTCAGTCGCCGCGGCGTTCGGACTCCAGGATACTGAGTCCAGACGGATGCTAGGGGCGGGTCGCATCCTCCTGTCCCCCTGGTACACCCAAGCCTAGGGGACCCAGAGAGGCCCTCGCTCCCTGAACGTACACCCCCCGGTACTCTCCGGGTGCTACCCAGACGGTGAAAGGTAGGCGCCCTCGACCGGAGCGGGGACCGCGGAACTCCAGGGCTACTCGTCGCCTCCTCTTTGTTAGGTAGCCCCCCAGATGACAGCTCATGGCCCCACCCATCCGAGGGCTCGCCTTCAAAGACCACCCCTCTATTGGCCCTCGCCCCAACCCCGCTAGTGGACCTACGAGTGTCAGGTTGCTGTACCCGAGGGCTGCTGGACATTGGCTCTATCTTTGGAGTCAGAACACACGTGGTCAGGCTGCCTCAAGTCTTGAGGTGCATAAGTTAGGGGTCCAGCGACTAGAGGAGCCACTGATCCAGAGTCCTGTCCGAGCAGAAAGGGCTCTGGGAATCCTCTGAGCCAGACCTAACCCTGGGCTTGGTAAGGTGGGGAAACTGAGGCCGAACAGGGAAGAAGCTGGTACTGATTGTGGTGAACCTGCACCCCAAGCCTCTGGACTCCCAGTTCAATGGTCTTTGTGTTGCACCTGCCCACCTTCCAGGTTCTGTGGCATTGGCTTCCTGCAGGGGACTGGGTGGGACGGTTGCCTAAAACCCTTCAACCCTAAGCAGTGAGGCTCCAGGGAGCCTGTGGAGTGTGCAGGCTGGTGGCCTGGTTCCAGGCACACAGCCCTGGGTTCAGGTCTTGCTTTTACTCTTTGGAAAGCCAGGAGGCCGTGCTTGGTCTGTTCCCCTCCTCATAACATCAGTATAATGCCCTGAAGTGCGAACCATATGAAGTGATAAGCTACAGCTTTTCCTGTGAGGATAGAGTCTTGGAAATGAGTGTACACAGGTGCCTGGTACTTACCGCTTGGCCCCCTCCCTCCTGTGTCTGGGGAAAAAAATGGGTCACCATTGCAGATGCTGTGTATGGGTCAAAGCCTGGTCATGGCCTGGCATGTTCTGGGTGTGGCATGGGCAGCCAGGGCACCAGAGCCTGGGCTGTCCTGACCAAGCCAGCTTGTTCCTGGGGTGTGGTTGGGGCCCTCTGGGGCATCTGGAAGCATCAGCTTCCTGCTTTTACCTGGTACCTAAGGGTTGTTCAGCTGCTCCTGGAAGGTGGCCCAGGTGTTCCTCCATCACCCACCAGGAAGTGGCAGGAGCTGGGCTAATGATGGATTTAGTCACCTGTGACTTGAGGCTAGCATGCCCTATGGCCACCACTGGGTAGCTGAGAGCACAACAAGGGGGTTAGGGGGTCAGACCTCAACTTCTGCCCTTTGTGCTGCACAGAGTGAGACTGCTGACTCTGCCCGCCCATCTGTTCTAGACTGGAAGTTAGAGGGCAGATGGGCTTCAGAATCCCAAGCCCTCACCCCTCAGAGGGAGCCTCGGTGCCTTGGGAGTGGGTGAAGTGGTTAACCCACTAAAATAGGATGTCTGTTGGGGAATCATGGGAGTAGAGGCCCTCCAGGGTCTGTTCTTTTCCTTCACATGGCATTTATTGAGCGCTTACTGTGTGTCAGGGACCATGCTGGCCCCTGTGCTGTGTAGTCATTTTTTATGTTGTCTGAGTCCATGTGTGAATGGTAGTAAGTGTGTGTGGTGGACATTAAGAGAATGTCCTTGGAAAATATAGCATTTTCTTTGCTTTCTGTGTCATAGTCTGAGCTAAACTTAAGGGGGACCCAGGTAGAAGACACACAATTCCCTGAGGAGGATAGGGGCTGGGACAAGGACCAGGCCTGGGGCTGCCACTGGCAGGGGCTGCAGATGGTAAGGGGTCTCATGCACATTCAAAGTGCATTGAGCATTTGGTGAATGAATGAGTGGAAGTCAGACATAACTAGTGAAACCATACAGTCCTATTGTGCTATCTTTTGTGAAACAAGCCTCTAGTGGGCACCCCTGTGAGGCCTGTGTGTGATGAGAAAGACAAGGTGTTGTCCTCTCCAGAAGCTCACTGACTATTGGCCGAGACAGAGCTGAACATAGGCAGTCCCTGAGCTATTGGTTATGGCCTCTGCAGGAAGTTAGTGCATTGTGAGGTGTTGGGGAATGTTAGGGAAGGCTTCCCAGGGGGATCTTTTTAACTGGGTGTTAAAGGATGTATAAGAGTGTTCAGGAAGGATTTGAGGAAGAAAATATTCTAGGCAGCTGGGGACAGCAGGCTTAAAAGTCTTGAGATGTGGTTAAGAATAGGGTAGTCTGGCAAATGTGGGCAGCCTCTGTAGATGCAGGGAGCATGGGGGAGCCAGGGGAGATGAGTCTAGAAAGTTAAGTGGGATCAGAATGTTCTGTGCAGCGCTTGGCTACTGCACTTTGAGTTTTGATTTTGTTCTGCAGTTTGGGGGAGGGAACAGTAACATATTTTTGAAAGTAAGAGATGGTTAACTTGGGTGATGTCTCTGGCAGTGAAGTGGACACAGGGTTGGAGGCGCCATGCTGGAGTCCAAGACTAGCTAGTCCATTCGTTCACTCATTCCCCTGGTGTGTTATTCTGCTGGGCTGCTGTCACAAAATACCGCAAACTGAGTGGTTTAGAACAACAGAAATTTATTCTGTCACAGGAGGTGAGAAGTCCAAGATCAAGGCGTAGGCAGAGCCACATTCTCTCTGAAGGCACTAGGGAAGGATCTGCTCCAGCCCTCGCTTCAAGCTTCCGGTAGCTCCTTGGCTTGTGGCATCACAACCCAGATCTCCACATCGCCTTTTCTCTGTGTATGTGTGTGTGTGTGTGTGTCTCCTAATTTCCTCTTTTTGTGAGGGCATCAGTCATATAGGATTAGGGGCCCATCCTATTCCAGTACGACCTCATCTTAACTATATCTGTATCGACCCTATTTCCAAATAAAGTCACTCCTAATGGGAGTTAGGCATTTCACATATGCATTTTGAGGCAACACATTTTAACCCGTAATATTCAGTATATATTTTTGGTGCATTACTGTGTGCCAGACCCTGGGAAGCTGGCAGTGATAGACAGGCAAAGTGCCTGCCCTTAAGGAATTGTATTCTAGAGGAAGGAGACAGACCGTATGCAAATAAACAGGTGAGTCTACTTGTCAGATTATGCCCTGAAGAAATGAAATAAGGTGGTAGTGATGGGGGAGGGGTAGCTTCAGGCTGTGTGATCTGGGAAGGCTTTTCTAAGGTGACATCACCTGCATCGTAGGAAGAGGCAGATGAGCATTCCAGGCCGGAGAAATAGCGTGTGCAAAGGCCCTGAGGTGGAAATGGTTGTGTCTTGTTGAGGAGCAGAAAGGACCATTGTAAGAGACCCAAGGTAGAGAGAAATGAGCAAGAGCCAAATGGGTCGACCTGGGAGGCTGTTGAAAGGTTGAGTCTTTGCCTACACCAGGGAAGCTGGTGGGGACCTTGGAGTACCATGTACGCTGTCTGGTAAGCAGCTTGTGTTGGCTACTTGTGGAGAGCAGTCAGGATGGGAACAGGAAGTCGGTCAAGCAAACGACAGCGCAGCCTCCTAAGGGAAGATGGTGGCAGCTCAGCCCTAGGGCAGGAGGGAGTGGAGGAACACTTCCCAGCCATGGAGTGAGCTCTGCCTGGTGGAAGCAGCATCTGGGAAGCTGGAGAAGCATGCGGTACAGGGTGGAGCAAGAGAGCAGTTAGGGACCAACTAACTCAGGGATCCTCTGCTCGGAGCACTGCTGGCTGTTTGAGGCTGCAGCTCTAGGGGGAGGTCAGGACCAAAGATGAGAACCAGAGGGTCATTGGAAGGATGCTGCGTGTGTCCAGACATTACCTGAGGGAAGCCAGCCAGCATGTTACCATGGCAAGAGAGACTTGGCAGATGGGATTAAACTAAGGATCCTGAGTTAACCTGGTGGGTACAGTGATATAGTCACCAGGGTGGGGAGAGGGGGTGGGGTTGGAATCAGAGCCAGGGAACATGCGCAGCCTCTAGAAACTGAGGAAGGCAAGAACACAGATTCTCCTGTAGAGCTACCAGAAGGTGCGCAGTCTTTGTTAACTTCTTGGCTTCAGTCAAGGAGGACTAATTTAGAACTTGGTACCACGAAAATTTGTGTTGTTTTGAGACAGTAAGTAGGTGCTAACTTGTCACAACAGCAATAGGAAACTCATACAGAGCCATAGGTCTCCCCTAAATCTGTGGCCTCCAAACATTTTTGCTCATTCACCTCATCAATAAAAAAATTTTGAGCTCTCCATAGATATATATTTTATGTGTCATACCCCAAAGCAGACATCTAAAAGGGCATTTCCTTCTGGCCCTTAAGCAGCCCGCTGTGGAGGCCTCAGCCCCAGGCAGGCCAGGCCAGGGCTGAGCCAGGCTAAGCCTCTGGAGCTGACTGGACCTCTCTGAGCCCAGGAATGAGTGCTGCCCTGCTGGCAGGTGAGACTGGAGGCTCTGGTCTTCTCTGCAATTGATAGCTTGAAGTTAGGCCATACAGTGAGCTGTGGCTGCTGGGCTGGGCCTGGTGGGTGAGGCAACTCACTTCAGGATGAAAGAAGGGGCTGGCCAAAGGCTGGGGGTGCCTGCTGGGGCCGAGCACCTGGGCGCAGATGTACTGAAGGAGGGTATGTTGCAGAGGTGTGAGCCTGAGGCTGGGCTGGTGAGAAATTGTCAGGAGTTGACAATAGGCAGGGTGCATTCTCTTCAGAGGGTGACAGGGTGCAGAATGGCACCCGATCTGTTGAATGGGAAGTTTTAGGAGAGAAAAGTGGGGAACCCCTGTTTTCTCTAAATTTGGAAGTTGGGCTTGGTGTGTTTATCAGGAATGGGGTATCATGCTGATGTGCTTGGTGACCAGAATCCCAAGTCCCTAAGATTGCCATACCATGTGACTTGGGACAAATGGCTTGACCTCTCTATGCCTTAGTTTCCTCATCTGTAAAAAAGAGCTATTTCAAGGCTCGAATGAGATAATCTATGGAAGGTGGTGACTCCCCAGCAAAGGTTAGCTTCATTCATTCAGCAGGCGGTAACTGAGCATCTACTGTTCTAGGCACTTGGGGTTCAGTTGTGAACAAAAGTGACAACTGGTCCCTGTTTAGTGGGGCTTTGTTCTCTTATTACTTCACCGCTCATGAAACGTCAGGCTAGATTCAAACTCTTGAGCTGTGCCTCCTCTGAGGGGCCCACCGAGAACACACACTGGAGGTGGTGGTGGAGGACCTCACAGGGGTCCCCACACTGTCGAGTGTTATGGGACAGGCTTTCTAGGAATGCGGGCAGGGCTGGGCTACCTAAGTGCAGTCCTTTCAGCTCAGCCCCTCTACATCCTGTAGTCTCCTTGTGACCCTCAGCCCTTTGTCTCTTGGGGAGGGGTTCATGGAGAGCTTCATGTGATGTTGGCATGTGGCTGCAGGCTGCTTGAAGGATTCTTTGGTTATATGGGCAGGTTTGGGGAGAGAAAAGCAGGGGACTCCTGCTTTCCCTACATTTGGAGGTTGGGCTCAGCGTGTGGATCAGGAATGGAGTATCAGGTGCACACCTCCAGCATCAGAGTAGGTACTTTACACACCGCCCGTGCTCTGAGTCTGTGGGAGGAAACAAGCCAGTGGACAGATACAATGCAGACTCCACCAAAGACTCCAACCTGGTCTGAACACCCAGCCCATGTTCTAGCTGCCAAGGTTGCTGGGGAAAAGCCAGAGATTAAAGAAACATCCTTTTCTCACTTTGAAATATATTCCTCCCTTCAATCTGCTAAAAACTGTTTCCAAGTGGAGGTGCTATCTGCCTGACTTAATTAGAATTCATTTGCAAGCCCCAATTAAAGGACTAAAATCCTTTCAGGTGGCCTGATTAGGTCTGACAGAACATTGTCAGTCATGGCCTGCCTGTCCTTTTCCCATAACATCCTGGAAATTTCCAGCCATGGTTTAAAAAACAAGCATTGATTAGAGTCAGCTGAGGTCAAAAAAAAGCACTGTACTTGATTTATGGGCTAGAAAATTAAGGACGTACCTGGGGTTCTCTCTGGACTTGAGTCTCTGATCCTGCCCCCCTGGGCTGTGGCCAGGGCTGTGCTGGTGCAAAGGGTGCGGGAAATGCCTCCAGCTGATTTGGATCATTCTGGAGGTGCCAGGTAGGGACTTGAAGGGGCAAGGTAGAAACCCACTTGTCCCCCAGGTGCCCCATAAACACACCTGGGACCATCAGGGGGCACTAGAGTTGACCCAGGACTCTGTCACCTGAGGATGGGGGCAACCTATACCATTTGACAGTAGGGCTAGATCCGAAATAGTATGGAGTGAAGGAAGAAAACCCCACAATATCCATAGCATAATATACAAACTTAAAATGCATGCACACACACAACTCTGTATTTTTTAAAAGAGATAGTTTTCATTTGTACAAGGTACTTAGAATATTCAAATTCATTAGAGACAGAAAAGTAGAAAGGTGGTTGCCAGACACTCAGGGATGGGGAGTGGGGAGTTAGCGTTCAATGGAGATGGAGTTTCAGTTTGGGAAGATGAAAAAAAACATGCCGTGGACACCACCTACAGAGGGTTGAGGGTGTGGAGGGATATGAACAGGAATCAGGGATCAAGGGAAAACATGAAAAATGCCTCGCAGGGGCTGGTGCTGACAGTGTGTCTCTGGACCAAGGGAATGGTGAGCTGAGCTCTCAGCAGTGGAGAGGGCCCTGAACTATCATTTAATATTTTATCTTTAAAACCAAAAACTTCCTGCAGGCTTTTCATAGGTCTAGCCAGCCAGCCTTCATCTCTTATCTGCCCATAGCTGCAAGGGAAGCTAGGAAAATGATTGGGAAAGAGGTGGGATTGGCACAACTCAGTCACTTTTCATCAGGTTTCAGACTTCTGCCAGTGGGGGAAGAAATGGGGTAACAGCCAAGGGGACAGCAGCCCATGGCACCTGCCCCAGCATGATTGTCTGATGCCCCCTGATTGTTTCTGGTTACACTGTCACAATGGTGTCAAGCTGGAGGGAGGAAGGAGCCTCAAGCTGACTTAATTTTGCAAAGAAGGGTGCGTATAGGATAGAACCTTCTAGAGGCAAAATCTAGAATCCCTTTTCCCTAACCCTAAGTGTTTGACTCTGTTTCCTCTTTTGGAAACATTCTTCCTCCTGTTCTTTAGGACAACAAATTGATCTTCCACTTTTAAGCTTTCCTCTGGGAAGTTGCCCTTGACCTTGCAAGTCCAGGGGAGGGTATGTGTGGGACAAAAGTGTGAGTGCGAGGGGGAGGCCAGGACTGACTCGGCTGGGCTGCTGTGGGGAGAACAGGGAGGCTGCATGGAGGAAGTGGCTTACACCCATTCATTGAGCAAACATCTCAGCCCCTACTCTGTGCCAAGGCCTTTGATAGGCCCTGGGGAGTCAGGCAGGTAAATGGGAGATTGCAGACAATATCATAAAGTGTCCTGAGGCAGGAGAGGTTGTGTACCTCGGAAAGTCTTTGATAGGTCCCCAAGACACAGCCCTTCTCAATCCCAACATCTCTCCCCTGTCCTGATGCTGGACATGGGAAAAGGGGCTTGATGTAAGTTTAGAGTCTGTCCAGCATGGAGACAGGAGCAAACCTAGAAGTCCTTTAGGCCTCATTGTATAAGCTCATAGGCCAGCTCTCTGCTCCTGCATACTCAGTGTTAGAGAAAGATGATCATCCAAAATCCAGATATATCTCTTCAGATGGACAAAGGGGTTCATAACATCAAAAGGCTCCTGCCTGAGCAGATGCACTGGGTTGCGATTGTTATCTAGTCAGTAATGAGGCTGAGATGCCAAAGGCTACTGTGGTCAGAGATGTAAAGTAAAAAAGGCAAGCTCCAGCACCAACTAAGTGTCAAAAATGATGGCAATAAATGAATGGAAAACTAGATTTCCACTTACAAAAATCCCAATTAACAGCAGCCTTTGGCAGTGCACTACTGCATAAAAATGGTCTCCCTTGTTGTATTCTGGAGCCAGAGTCACTCAAACTATAAATTGTCAGTGGCTTTAATGCCACTTTCTCTTACATTATTTTCTGGCTATTTGCAGGCAGGAGTGCATCTCACTGAGCCCGCTGATGGGGTAGCCTAAGATGAGGTTTGGCTGCTGGAAAAGAGGTCTCTTTCCCCAAGCTTCCTTCTGCCATTGCCCTGTCTCTATACACCCATTTCTTCTTGCCCACCCACTTCTTCTCACCTTGGAGAGAGACCCTTTCTCTAGCTTTGTCTTTTGGGGTTGGAATTGACCTAGACTCCAGCTGGACTGTGGTATGAACTTTTGCCGATAGATGGTGTGTGAAGATGCCCATCCCAGGCTATGCTCCATGAACTCAGATCTCTGAAACCTTCCCTAGAACCCCAGGCCTCCTTTCCTGTACCAGTGCTTCTGGGGACTTTATTACCCTATATCATTACCATTTTCCCTCAGACTGTGAACCTAGGGGGTGAGGGGTCCTAGATGTTCTTCCCTGTGTATTTCTAGCACGTGACACAGTGCTTAGCTTAAGCTTGATGTTCAGGAATTGTCAGATGAATAAAACAATGAATGAATGAGTGCATGGATGAGACAGGAAGGATAAAAGTAGATGAAGGCACTCACCATTGGCATGAGGTTCATTAGGCTCAAGGTATTACATTCTATAAGATGAGTTTCCATATGCCCAGGGATACCTTTCCCATTGCTGCTGACCCTGCCTGTCCCTGTCCTGGGAGTGTGACAATCTAGGCAGGTATCTAGGGTGCTGGGAACATACTCACACGTAGCTTTTGTGGGACAGTATCATTCCTATCTCATGTCACTGGCAGTTTGGAGGCCACCAACTTGGTGAGTTCTAGCAGTTAATTTTGAAATTGTTGCAGCATTTCTTCTTTATCTTTCAGAGTGAAACATCTTTCAGCTTAATATCAGAAAAATGTGACATTCTCTCAATTCTTCGGGATCATCCTGAAAACAGGATTTACCAAAGGAAAATCCAGGTGGGGCAGAGGGAAAAGAGGATCCTAAATTAGATGGGCTGGAGTTGGGAACTAAGATGGAGGTGCTACTTTGAAGGCTTACTGTTTCTGGGCAAATGAAAGGATTCTCAGGATATTTTGATGTTAGGCATTTGCCTTAGCAAGAAATCCTTTAGTGGCAAACAAAGAAACAAACAAACAAAAAAACCAAACAAAAAAACTATGCACTATCCTAAGTGCTTTAATTAACTCACTGAGACTCTGATGAGTCCAGCTTGGGTCAAGTCTCCATTAGCAGCTAAGGTTGAACACAGCCACAGAGATACTTCCCAGGGCAGGAGCTAGGACCAGGCAGTAAGCTGACTCTCGTGTCCCCCAGAACTCTCTTAGGAGGTGAGACCAGGGTCGGGCGGGAGCAGGGACTCCCCAACCACTTGAAAACCATTCTGTGCTATCAGAACACTGCCTATATCCCCTTGAGGCAGGAAATTCCAGGCCAGTTGAGAGGGACACAGCTGTAGGCAGAGCCAGAGCAGGGAGTGGCACAGCAATGTTGGGAGGACTTTCTAGACCGACCCTGCAGCCTCCTCTCTACCCACCAACCCCCTCGGCCCAACTTCTGCTGCCAGCTCCTGCTCTCAGCATCATTCCTCCAAGAAGCCTTCTCTGACTTCTGAAATCCCACATCAGTGCCACTGCCCCAGCTGAGTATTTCTCAGTCCTTGTGCCACCATGGTCTCATCGTCTATCTTCTCTGTAGACTGTAGGGTCATCTAGGACTGACCCAGGATGTATGCAGTGTATTTCTATCCTCATGGAATGAATGGTGCGGGGAGACTAAGGGGACAGCCAGTTTGAGGGGAGGGAGCAAGTGTTACTGGAAAGAGGTGGGGCTGGCCAACCTCAGGGTCCAATGCCACAGAGCCCTTTTCCCGCAAATGCCCTTATCCTGCAAACATTTCCTTCTCTCCCCTACAGGAACTCAGCAAAAGGTTCACCGCGATCCGCAAGACCAAAGGGGATGGGAACTGCTTCTACCGGGCCTTGGGCTATGCCTATCTGGAGTCTCTGCTAGGAAAAGGCAGAGAGACCCTCAAGTGAGTGGGTGGGAGAGACTTGTTGGGTTCCATGTTGTATTCTCTGCACCAGGTCAGCCCAGGGAGTGAGCTGGATGGCTGCCTGGCAGAGGCGTTTGATGTTGGAGAAGCCCAGTTGCCCACTGTGGTAGAGTTGGGGTAGCCAAGAGGCTGGGGATGGAATCAGTGACCTTCTAGCACTTTCTAGCTTTCTATTTCATCCATGAGTCTGGGTCAGCCCAAGTGAGTTACATTGGGCAGGTATTTGGTGATTCATTACAAAAAGATAAGAAAACAAACAAAAGATGCAATGTTGCCCTGTTCTGAGTAATTCCTGCTGGCCTTGGCTTCCAGCATGATCCTGGTCAGGCCTGGATCTGAGCTTCACGCTGTGCAGAACTGCTCCCTGTGCCGTTTGTTCTTCCATTATAATTTCATGTTTTGGTTAGTTCAGGGCTTCTCATACCTGAACATTTGTACAAACCACCTGAGACCTAGTTAGGGTGTAGGTTCCCATTCAGTATACTGGTCTGGGGATGGGGAGCCTGAGATCCTACATTTCCCACCAGCTCCTAGGAGATGTTGATGCCACTGGCCTTAGACCACACCTTGAAGAGTAAGGAGCTAAGAGATCGCTTGGTTCTCAGCTATGTTGAGCCTCTCCCCTTCCCATTTCTCACAGTGGTGTGGGATAGCACAGCACAGGGGTTGTGACCCTAAGTTTGTCTTCCCCTGGAGTTGTGCCATGCAGCTGCCCTAGATGCTGAGGTCAGACCTCACTCTCTTACTTACTTCCTGTGTGATTTTGGGCAGGTGACCCAGCCTCTCTGAGCTCATTTTTTACAACTGTGAAAAGTGGATAACATTTGATACCTGAGGGGGTTGTTGCGGGGGTACCAGGATGGATTCTAGAAAGGGGCCTTGCCATTAGGGGGCTTTGCAGTGGGTGCAAAAGCAGTATTCAGAAGTCACAGTTCCAGGGCCTTTGGGCCAGGTCTTCAGGGGTGACTCAGTGCTGGCTGGTGTGGGGACCGGAAGCCAAATTTGAGCTGTCAGCTGATTGCCAATAGCTGTCAAAGCTCCTAACCTGATCCACCCCAAGCTGTCATTGCAAGTAATTGAGTAGTATGTGGGAAGAGATGCAAAATAACACGCGCTATGTTCCATATCATACCTCCACTGGACATATACAGCCTCATAACCTGAGGAACCTAGGTGTTAGTAAATAATTAGGAAATGATGAGCTTTGAATATTTATTAACTTTGGTTGTTAGTATACTTTACTTAATTGTAAGTTTACATCATTCAAGTTTTAATAATAGCTGTGTTAACACCTGGCTGGCAGAATTCTTGAAAATTTAACAATTAATTCACTCTGTGAGCAGATACAAACCAACTCTTGCACACCCCCCAAGAAGAAAGTCCCTGGCAGTGCTAATAGGGCAGACAGGTCGTGGGGATGGCTGCGGTGGGACAGGGTTCTGAGGACGCACTGGAGAGGCGGTTGGGCCGGGGCAGTGGTCAGATTGGGACATAGTTGCATCACAGCACGCTCCCTGTAAGTACCGAGTCTGCTCCTTTTTAGGTTCAAAGAGCGTGTACTGCAGACCCCAAATGACCTTCTGGCTGCTGGCTTTGAGGAGCACAAGTTCCGAAACTTCTTTAATGCTGTGAGTTCACCTGGGTCACGCTGGCTGAGGAAACAGGTCCCTCCTTCCACGCTGGCAGAGCAGACACTGGCAAGAGTCCCCACACAGCTCATAGCTCCGCTCCTCCCAGGGAAGGACAGAGGGCTGCATCTGGCATATAGGGATTGTGGATAAAAGGAGCCCAGAGCTCTGCCCTTCCCTGGGAGGAGGCACCTCCTTCTCCACACTCCCTCTCCACCCCATCCTCCCCATCTGATCAATGGATGGGTCAAGGACTGTCAGACCCCTGCTGCTCTGGATGTGTACGTGGGAACCCCAAGCCAGGTGGCCATGGGGGAGACCTAACTGCTGCTCCCTAGATATGCCTCCATAGGTATGAATTACAAAGTCTCGCTAACCCCTGTTAATGACAGAGGCCCCAGGGAGTGAGGGTTGGGTCGCCAGGGCCTCCCCTGGCTGATGCCTCGTTGGGCGCAGTTCTACAGCGTGGTGGAGCTAGTAGAGAAGGACGGCTCAGTGTCCAGCCTGCTGAAGGTGTTCAACGACCAGAGCACCTCAGACCGAATCGTGCAGTTCTTGCGCCTGCTCACATCAGCCTTCATCAGGAACCGAGCAGACTTCTTCCGGCACTTCATTGATGAAGAGATGGACATCAAAGACTTCTGCACGCATGTAAGATCTTAGGATCTCAGTCCCAGCCCCGGCTCTGCTCCTGTTGGGGATTCTTACAGTCTCCTGAACCCTGTGCCTAGCCAGGGGATTTGGGTATTATAGATGCCCTAGCAATTCAAACAGCAGTAGGTTAGCAAGTTGTAGGCACCACTGGAGCTGCCTGCATCATGTGGCTTGGGGCAAGTCACCACTCCACCCTGGGGATCTCCCATCTGAAAAATAAGGGATAGGGAATAGCCTTTCCTAAAACTGCATAGTCCGAGTCACATTTGCTCCAAGACATGTTGTTGTTTACAATGCATGGTATTTACCTGAAAGAGTGGCTGATGTGTAAAAATTGGGCAATTTTTCATATGAATTTCTGGATTTGTCTTGGAAAATCAGAAGATCCAGCTCCAGGCCTTTACTCTTGTATGGCGATACCAGCACCTAACCTTTGTATGAGGACTACCACCCCTGCCTCTCTCTGCTCACTCCTCTGGAAGCACTTAAGCTCAAATCCTTGATGGGCCAGGTGCCTTTCAGCTCTAAGACTGTGTATTGTCCAACCTGAAAAATCCCTGCTCTTCCTTTCCAGGTCCCTCAAAGGTAGTGGCTTCTTCTCAGGAGCAACTAGAGTCTAGAATAAAAAAGATCCAGGCTTAACTTGCAATTCTAGGGATTTGTAGCAGTGGTGCTACTTTTGTCCCAGGGAGCCTACTTCCTTTGTGACATGAGGATGTCAGTACATAACTCATGGGTGGTTGTGATGATTATATCCCAGCACAGAGGCTTTGCCATGACCTGAAGTGCCAGGGTTGAAGGGGCTTGTTCCCTGCCAGGCCTTCCTCCTAAGCTGGCTTATTTTTTTATTTTGGCCTTTGCAGGAAGTGGAGCCCATGGCCATGGAATGTGACCACATCCAGATCACAGCCCTGTCGCAGGCGCTGAGCATCGCCCTGCAGGTGGAGTACGTGGATGAGATGGACACCGCTCTGAACCACCACGTGTTCCCTGAGGCCGCCACCCCTTCTGTTTACCTGCTTTATAAAACATCCCACTACAACATCCTTTACGCAGCCGATAAACATTGATTAATTTTAGGCCATGCAGTGGAATCTGTCACCTAACGGATTGCTTTCTGAATGGAACATTCTGACTTTTCAATTTTTTAAGCAATTTAGACTATAGCTAGAAAATATACATCCTCTTGGGCAAAGCCTCTGGAAAGGAGGCCTACCCATTATGGACTGTGGTAATGGCAGTATTTTTAGTATTTATTTCGATGGAGGATCAAATGCTTTCTAATTCTGGGCCAGGAAGGGCCCCCTGACTGCATTCCAGTTCACTGAGAGACACTGGATAGGTCACCTACCCTCTTTGGACCTGTTTCTTCAGTTGGAGGAGGTTCCTGCAATACTGCCATTCTGTTGTATAAAAAATGGAGTCCTCTGGTTTCTCTTTGCCAGGGGCAGTGCCTCTCCACAGGGGCGCAAAACTCAAGGTCATCTGCCTAGACTCAAGTGACTCACTGTCTAGGCCTACAAGAAAGAATCTGGTCCAGTCTGTTGTTGGACTGGGCTGTGGTGGATGGGCTGTTGTAAACTTGAAACACACTCATGATGGGTGTGTTTTCCCACCCCTAACTTAAGGAGAAAGAGACTTTTTTGCCAAAGTCCAGAAATGGGTCTTTCAGCCTTCAGCATAAAAGTTCAAGTTGTTGGGGCTCCCTCTACCTCTCTCAGGGCCAGACTGCCTGACTTTTAGTGGTTAAGCCTTTCAGAGTTCTGCTGTCAATCTTTCTATCCCCTGGATAGAGGCTTAGGAAGACTGGGGTCTGGACCAGGATCTGTGTAGTTACGTCTGGGACCAGGAAACTGCAGCTGTCCCTTCTTTCCCAGCAAATCCTAGAAGTCTAGATACTCAGCCTGGTAGAGATGTTGGCACATGCAGCCGTGGACCCCAGCTGAGCAGAGCAGATGGTTTGCAAAGCTGCCCTTAGCTCCTTTCTGCGGTTTCTCCTTCTGTTCTCTTTGTGGGCTGGTGAGAGGATAGGTGGGAAAGAACAGAGACAAGCCATGGAAAGACAATGAGGAGATTGCCATTGCTGAAACGGCCTGACAACTCTTACCAGCTCCCTCATTCAGCCCCCTGCTGCCTCAGGACCTCTTAAGAGCCCATCCCTGGACTGGCATGTGAGATGGCAGCAGTGGGGAGCCACACAATTGGGTGGGCTGAGGTGCTGCTAGCAACTTCTCCCTTCACAAGAGGAAATGGAAAATGCAGGGTGTGGAATTGCCCTTTGGGGTCCTTCCTCAATTGAAGGCCACCTTCTCCCAGGTCTCCTTCTGCAGGGATTTATTAGAATCTATTGGTGCTGCTGTATGAGTCTGCTGACAAACCCAACTGTGCACAAGGATTGGGTAGCACACCCCTCAGAGTCCTGTTGACACAAATGATGGATTTGTGTCACTCTTCTGCCTTCATGAAAAGCCAGTAGCACTCTTAGATGTCAGGGGCCTTAGTTCCAGGCAGGGACCCTGGTTCCCATACTGCCTTTGGCTGGTATTGGATCACAGGGCTTCAGCTAAGTATGTCACTTTTCCACAGGAATGTAAACCTGAGCCTCATATATGAATTTGTTCAGTGTCCCACACAGCTCTGGGTGTAAGTGTTAGGGGGTCTTTGACAAGTACACTGAAGAGTGGGGAGAGCACACTGCTTGATTTCTGAATCTCATCCTCTTTGCCAGACAAGTCTCCAGGGAATCCCTGCAGTGTGAACACATACAGGACACTGGACTGGTGCCCATAGTGGCTCTGAGGGGTTCTAGCGTGGGTTCTGGGCCTTCCACCCAGGTTCTCCAACACAGTAGAGTCAGCACTGGCCACTGCTTCTCTCCGTTTGTGGCTTTTGTGTTCTCAACAGGAGAGCTGTCTGGCACATTAGTTGGAGAAATTCCCTTGGTAAGACTTGTCTATACTGAGCTTCCAGGCCAGAGATCGCTCACAGGGGACCCTCTTCCTGGAAAGAATCTATCACTTTGGAGTCAGGATGCCCAAGGTCTGGCAGAGACAGGCGAAGTCATTTTCACGGGCTTATCCTCTGCTTTTCACAAAACCACAGGCCAAATCCAAATATTGTCCCCATTCCCTCCATGTTTGCCCTCAGATCTTTGTCTTCAAGGGAAAACACTATGCAAGCAAATGAGTGGCAGGTTTTGGTATTTTATAAAGTCCAATCATCTGTGGGCATTACCTTGCTCGCCCACAGCAGCCAGTCACCCTGGCTGTCACACTTAATGGATAACTCTCCACCCTCACCCTACAGAGCCATCTCTTCGTATACTAAAAGCTTGAAGGAAGGTTGCTTTGAAAACTTGTCTTTAAAGGTATCTGCATGTTTATTATTTTCCAAAGGAAACTTTATAAATCAATAGGAATATAGCAACAGGAAGAAAGAACACTATCCCTGCCTTTGACTGGGTTCCTATTTTAAGCACAAACAAAAGGGTTCTAAAACCAGAATGCCAGGGCTCAAACCTCAGCTTTGCCAGTTAACTTTGTGATCTTAGCCAAGTCACTTCACCTCTCTGAGCCCTAATTCCCACATGTACAAAGTAATCTACGTATCACAGGACTGTTGATTAAAATGGGATGAGGTATCTGTGAAAACAGCTGGAATTCCTGACACCTGTAAGTGCTCCTCAACCTACCCTTCCCCAAGGTAAGCAAAAGGGCATAGCAGGTAGAGAAGCACACCACCTCTGCAGTGACTGTGACTTCTCAAACAGTAGGAGTGTCAGGGGACCATTAGACAAGTCTATGGGCCAAATACATTTGCCACCCTAAGCGAGAATTGGGATGTGGCTGCTAGGGGCCCCAGGCCCTGCAGGATGTGGGCTAATCCCTACACAGCTTTTCTGAACAGTAGGTGGCAACATTTTCCTAGCATTAAAGTGGTTTCTGTAACAACCTTTGTCCTGGTTGCTTAATACTTAGTACCAATACTACTATCCTTTGGGGTTTATGTATGTGAATGGATCAGCTTGGGAGGAATACCCCTTTGTTTAATGGCAGATCCAGGACACTCAGGAAGTTCTGTCCATAGACCAAGTGAAAGCAACATTGCCTGGAACAGGCTGGCCCTATCTTTTAAAACCTGTCTACTTAGCTCCTTCACCACAAAAAAAAAAAAAAAAAAAAAGGATTTGGGCAAGATATCAACAGTCATCAGGGGATACGGATTTGACCTGTGACAAGTGGCCTCACTCCTATGGCTTGGGTGCTGCTCAGGGACCTTGAGCCTGCTCACTTCCACTGCACCATTTCAAAAATGGAGAGTCCCTTACTGCCCTCAGACACATGGTCAGTCTAGAGCTGACTTCATAGACTGGAGTGCTTTCTCCTCCCAGGGGGATTCCTTGGCAACTCTGCGACCTTCTAAGACCAAAGCAATTTTCTGTATTTGCCTTGGACCCAGAAGGAAGACACCTTAAATTCTAACCCCAGCTCAGCCATTTGGCTGCTGTGTGTTAAGTTTTAACCATTTGATGTCCATGTGCTCATCTACAAAAAAGTATATTAAGAATTAGAATTCAAGGCCTTAAAGATTAATTAGATAGAAGTACCTAACAATGCCTGGCACTTGGGCAATGCTAAGTGCTATCTGAATCTGCATTCAGGCAAGAGGTCACTGTCCTTGCTGTTGACAAGACCCACAGTAACAGTGATGGTTCTAACAAGGCAAAAATTAAAGGAGCTGAATCTATCTTTCCTCAATTCCCATCCAGTCTAAGGACTTACCCTTATACATCTTTTCTTCCAGCTACCTAAAGGGGCTAAGGGAATCCTGCTGCTCCCCACCCTTCTAACCTTGCCAACCATGAGGCTGTGGGAGGGTGGGTTACCTGGATCTTGGGGTATCTAGGTCCACTTGTGCACCCTTTTGAAATCCCTAGCACCTTTTTTTTTTTTTTGAGACAGAGCCTCAAGCTGTCCCCCTGAGCAGAGTACTATGGCATCACAGCTCACAGCAACCTCCAACTCCTGGGCTCAAGCGAGTCTTCTGCCTCCGCCTCCCAAGTAGCTGGGATTACAGGCACCCGCCACAACACCTGGCTATTTTTTGGTTGCAACCATCATTGTTGTTTGGCGGGCCCAGGCTGGATCTGAACCTGCCACCTTAGGTGTATGTGGCTGGCGCCTTAGCCACTTGAGCCACAGGCGCCGAGCCCCTAGCACCTCTTAAATTTAGTAGCTACTGTATCACGCTCTGATGAACACCTGTTTGGAAGCCCAGACACCTGTATAGACATCTGTGCATCTCCAGTGGTATGGAAGACCCAGAGTGGTATCCATGTGTTCAACTACAAAAAAGAGAAAGCTAGGGCAGGATGTGGAGGTCTCTTGTTCCCTTAGCACACATTTACACCAGGCTGACCCAAGCCTTAAGGGCCTCTGCCCCAAAGAGCTGAGCCAAGGGAACAGTGTGGCAAGTGCTATGAAGAGGGTAAGCATGGGCACTAAGGCAGTTCACAGGAGGAGCACTGCCCCCTCCGGGGGGCGGGAGGGTTAAGGACTGGAGGACTGTAGCAGTGCCTAGGATGGAGAAAACAAAAGCCAATCCAGGCCTAGGGAACAGCCTGTTTTACACAAAGGTACAGGACAGGAGAAAGGGTACAAAGGACCAGGGGTAGAAGTCTGTTCTGTCACAGAGGAGGGGAGTAGAGATGAGGCTTGGGATTTGCCTGCTACCATTGCCTCTTTCCTACCCACCCCTCCTGGGGTGGCTTACACAACAGCCAGGAGCAAGTAGAAGACCCTAAACTATTAGGGTACTGGGGAGAGTGGCAATGTGGACCCAACTGCAATGTTCTGTAGTAACCAGCAACCCCCACCTGCTGCTGCTCCAGCCACATTCCAATGCTGGCTTGCTGCCAGAGACCTACAACACTTTCTGCTGTATCAAAGGCCTAGCCCTGTTCTGACCCAAGGGAATCATTAAGTTAGTGAGGAAACAAACTGCATCACCACCCCCATCTTCTGTCTAAAAACTCAGGATGACACACTGTCTCTGATGATTTGTTTTTAATTTAAGAAATCAAGGTAAACACACAAGAAGCCTGTGAACACTGGAATACATGAATATTACGCCGCTGCACAGCATTCTTCATCCAAAACAATGTACATCTGCATGAGGTCTCTCCCGCGATGGGAGGAAGAGGGAGATTTTTATAACTGGGGCTGATGGTGGGAGTGAAACACACAGTGGAAAGGAGGTTTTCATGTTTAACCAGAGAACAGACACCACTGTGCAGTCAGCAACACACCTGACTGAGGCAGTTAATTTGCACTTGTACTTGGCTGTGGCTGTTCCTGCTGCTGTTCTTTTGGATTCTTTATCATCATCTTCTGCTTGGACAGGCAGCTCAAAGCTGATTTGCCATTCCTCGGGGCAGACACAAGCAGGGGCAGCTTGCCAGACTGAGTTGGATACTTGGTTTTCAGGCCTTCTGTAAACAGCGGCTGGGAGAGCAGATGGCGCAGCTCCTTCTTAAGGACCTTCATCTGCTTCTGTCTGCGACGCTCTTCCTGCTGGTCAGCTTTTCCTCCTCCAAACACAATACAAAAAAGAGATTATGGCTTGCAGAAACATTTTGTTTCCCCTGATGGATAATAAGATGTAAAATATTTTAGAGCTACTTCTGGGAGGCAAAGTTTAAAAAGCTCTCTGTAGAAGCTAGTGCTGGTTTGACAGGAACTATAAATGACTAATTTCTTAACTATCAGGAGGGATATGTGGGACCACTTTATCCTTTATTCCTCAAGAAAACTCTCTAAGACTGAAATCATCTTCATTTTACATATGAGGAAGCTTCAGACCATAGAAAGGTCTAAAGTCACAAAGCTGGCTGTCAGAGGCCAGAACCCAAGTCTCCTGACTGAATACCACTTTTCCTCTGATCTACCCACTTACTGGCCACCTGGGGGTCTGGTGAATGGACAGCTGCAAACCCGTCAGGAAACAGTGAGCACCTCTTTGCAGCCCATCTCTTGTGTACCTCACCATCGGTGCTGTGACTGTATGTGCAAAAGCATGCATAAAAAGGGCTCCACCCCAGGCTGTCTGTGGGAAGGGAACCAGGGCTCCATGTTCAGGCCCAGACCCAACCTGAGCTATCAGGAGGACTAGCTCACTATCCTCAAGCCCACTGGTTTGACCCCCAGCTTCCATAGCAAGCAGATAACAGTAAGCCAGCCTTGGAATTTGTTGACATAGGTATTGAAATGTTAACACCTCAGCAGAGCTGCACTCTTGGTGGGGTGGAAGGGGCACTGGCCAGGACTTTGATGTTTGTTTTAGATGAGGTTCTGCCACTTCTTAGACTTAAGAACTTTCCTATGCAGGGAACATTAAATGCCTTGTGGTACAGCTGTTTCCTCACACAAACTGCTTCCCTCTTAAGCCTCTAATTCCCATATGTACAAGAATAATAAATTCCTGCTCTGTTTATGTCATGAACTGTGGAGCAGATCACGAGATAATGACATGGAAGTGCACTGAGACCTTGGAAGACAAGTGCAATAGTAACAACAATGATGATAAATCTTGTAATTATCAAATATGCAATACTTCATATTTGCCAGACAGCTGTTGTAAGCACTTTACACTCCTCAGTCAATCTTTCCAACAACCCCATGAGGTAGTCAATTACCTCCATTTATGGCTCAGGAAACTGAGACACAGCAGAGAGGTTAAATAACTTAACTCAGTCACATAGCCAGTTAAAGGAATGGGCTGGGATTAAAAACATGGGTACTTAAAAACAGATAGACTGTTTACCACTGTACTCCATTCCTGTCCATGTAAGAGGGAGGTAGCTGAGGGCTTCAGACAGAGAACAAAGGTCAAGGGCATCAGGTTCATCTGGGACTAGAGCCTGTCAGTCAAGAAGGAAAGGGCAATTTGCTAATTCTGACTGGCCCCACAGTAATAGGGTTGGTTCTAACAAAGCAAAAGTTGAAGGAGCTGAGTCTATCTTTCCTCAATTCTCATCCAGCCCCAGGACTTACCCTTATACATCTCTTCTTCTAGCTCAATCTCAAGGGCAGCTGCTGCTTGCTCTATCCATGAGTTGTGCAGACAAGCCTGAAAGTTCCGATATTCGGCTTTCTCAATCTGTCGAGCTAAACGGATTCGCTCCTAGGGGAGAGCAATAAAAGGTATTCACATGATAGAGGATTGCTTTATTAAGGGAAGCAAAGTCTCTCTTGAGTTGTATTTTTAAAAAGCTCTTTAAGATCAGTGGTCACTGAGAGGCATTTGTTCTGCTTCCTGATAAAAGCCCAGAGGACAATCATTACATACATGTAAGCACATGCACATAATCACAAGAGTCAGCTTTCCCTACAATAAGCCCAAACAACAGTCCCACCTTTTGAAAATCTGCCCTGGTCTCACGCCAACCTACAGGTGTCTCAAATGAACTTTCCCCTCAGTTGCCACAGCTAAAGTGAGATAAAACATTTCAACTCTCCCTCCAGTGGGTTTTAGGGTTAGACTGCAGTGGTGGCATGCCCTGAGAAAATGGGAACAATCCTGTGATGTGAGGAAAAGGAGCCACAGGAAGCCTGGGAAGCTCCTAATCTTCTCTACTAATAGGAATTCTATGATCTCTACCTTTCCTTCCTCATCCCCCACCGTATTTCCCCACACACCTAATATTCTTTTAAGCCAGAGAGGCCAAAAAACCTTGATGGTGTTCTTTGCTTTTGGAACTTCTCAGTTCTATCTTCTCTTCACACTTCCACATCTCTTCCTACAAGAGGCTTGGATTAAACCTCTTCTCCTTCCAACATAACCACCACACGCCCACTAGTTGCACATGCCCCATTTGTACCCAAACTTTAGCACAGCTTGGCCAGCTCACAAGCTCTGGGGAGGAGTCTGTCTACCTTGCTTTGGTCCCTGACACACCCAAGCTCACAGTAAATAGCACACACTTGGTGAATGCCTGCTGAGTTAAAAGAAAATCCCAAAGGTAGGATCTACTTACACCTGTTTCAGAGATGTACCAAACCTGTAGCATCTACCTTAGTGAGACACATTTACCTCACTGCACTTTAAACCTCTGAAGGGCATCCAGGCAGCAGTCCCACTGCACTGTCCACTGAGGTGGGGAGAGGGAAGACTTCAGGGCCAGATAGCAAAGACATGGTTCAGGTAGACCATACCTCACATTTTTGATCATTCTCCTTTTTTCCCTTTTCCCAAGTACTGTGCCCCAAACACTTTTTTACACATCTCCCTGTTTAGCTGTGGGCAGAACCATTTCTTTCCCAGGATTCCCAAGGGTTCTGCCACCAGAGTCTCACAGCAATATACTGTACCAGGGAGCAGCCCAATCCTCTCATCAGCACTGGGGGTTTTTAACTTTTATTTTTACCTTGACTGCATCCATGTACTTTGCCTGCACGGGGAACAGTGGGATGTCCTCATCTTTCTTGAGGGTTTTATAAATCTTCTTAAAGTTAATCACATCCTCAGGTCCAATCAGCATCAGGCTGAGGCCTTCATTGGTGGCTCGAGCAGTTCGACCACTTCGGTGGACATAAATCTCTGAGGTGCGAGGGACCTGCCAAAGAAGGAACTATCAGGTCAGTACACAGCCATCACCAAACACTGCTCTTCTCAGGGCCGCATCCTCAAACTGGACCCTCCTCTCTCCCAGCCAGGAGAAACCTCTCCAGCATCACAGACTGATCTAGCCCTTCTCCCTTAGTCCTACATTCAAACTGTCCCCAGGTTTAGCCCATTCACTCTGCAGGTTCTCCTCTCCTATGCCTCCCTACCATGGTTCAAGTCCTCAAGACCATTCAGTTGGACCATTGAAGTAACTTATTTGGTCTCTAGACCTCCTAATTTCCTGTGCCTGAGCCCAGGGCTGTCAATGTCATCTTCCTGAGGCTCAGCTCTGACCACAATATTATTCCCTCTAGCTATAAAAACTCCACTGGTCTTCATTAATTCTGTATCCATGACTAAGGATGGCAATCATAACCAACATTTACTGAGTGATTACACTGGGCCAGACAATTCTAAACACCCTGCATGTATTATCCTATTTATTGCTCACACAATATGAAATAGATGCTTTATGATTATCTATATTTTTAGATCAGGAAACTAAAACACAAAGGTTAAACAAGCCCCTGTAGTTTACCCAACTAAGTGAACAGCAAGAACTCAAACTGCTCAAAGCAGTCAAGTCCCACACTAACTCCAGCTAAACTGCCTCTACTCCAATATGGTATCCACAGATAACGTGGCACAGGTGCTCACTGCCCTCCCACTCCACTCCTGTGGTACACACCACTAATTAAGCACAACAGTCTTTGCCACTGGGCCCAGATAACATCTCCGTATTTTTTTAATATAGTACACTACACAGCCACTATCAACTACTCATAATAGTTCTAGAAATAAGATCTATTTGCCATTCTTCACTAGGATAAAGGCCCAACTCCTTGACTTAGACATTTGGGGCCTTTAGCAACTTGCCTCCATTTCTTTCCTTCTTTTTCTACCACTACATGTCCAAATCCTCTTCACCCTTAAAAGCCAAACATCTTTTAGAAAGCACTTCCTAACCTCCCAAACTAGAAGTTGCCTCTCTCCCATTACTTTGTCATTTTCTAATAGCTTCTCCCTTAAATTAATATTAGAGTATGGTCATCTTACCTTCTCTACTGGATTTGATACTATTTAGGGGCTGGGATTGTACTGGTTCATCTTGATATTTCCACAAAGACTGACCCAAATCCTTACCCAAAAAGAGGAGGAGAAATTTGCTAAACTGAAATTGGCATACTAAAAGATTTTCAAAAGCACACAGAATTGGCTTGGCGCCTATAGCTCAAGCAGCTAAGGCGCCAGCCACATACACCTAAGGTGGCGAGTTTGAATCCAGCCCGGCCCGCCAAACAACAATAATGGCTGCCACCAAAAAAAAAAAAAGCTCACAGAATTAAAGGGGAAAAATAATGTCATAATAGCTGCCATTTACTGAGTACTTACACTGTGCTGTGTGCTTCATCAGCATCAGCTGAATTTAATGCTCATGATAATCCTATGGGGTAGGTAGTATTATTACTTTCAGTTTACAAACAATGACACTAGAGAAATAACGTGCCTAAAGTTAACCAATTATGAAGCAGCAGACTAGGGATTCAAATCCCGGCAGTGAGCCCATATTCCTAAGAACTCTGCTGATATTTACCAGGCGCCTGCACTAATAGTATCCTTCCTATCAACAGTTAACATTTAGTCAGTGCATACAACATGCCAGGTCATTTCCTAAGCTCTTCCTATCTATTAACTTATTTTACCTTACTAAGAAGTAGGCACTATAAATAACTACCTTTTAACAAATAAGAAAACTGAGACAAAAACAGATTAAATAACTTAAGGTTATACAGCTGAGATTTGGACCCACAGAGGTCATAACTACCAGATTTTTCTCTCCATGGTCATTGAGAGAAAAGTTGATCATTTTACACACTTAACATATGCCCACTTCATGGAAGAAACTAAGACTCTAACCTGCTGATAGCAAGTGGCTTGGAGAGAAGGGCTACTTAAAAGTAGACAATACCAAGAAAGTTTTTGGAGACTAAATCTCAGCTGTGTTCCAAAAACAGTAGTGGGCACTATATGCCAGTGGTATTCTCTGTTGCAGGCCTTGGAAGCAACAATTTCTCCTCCCTCCTCAACCTTTGCTTTTAAATCCCCCATTCAATGCAGGCTGGTGTCTATAAACTCCCAGATGCCCCTACCTGGTAATGAATTACATGCTGCACTTTAGGAATATCCAGACCCCGAGCTGCCACATCTGTTGCCAAGAGAACACAGCTGTGATAGAGAGAGAACATTCATTAATAATTGTAACTAATAGCTATCCAAAAGCAAACTCTTACAAAAGGTTGAGCCCTCTAAACACTACAACGCTTACAAACATCCTACAAGATATACTATTATCTCCCTTTTACAAATAAACAGGCTTAGGGAGATTAACTTCCCAAGTTACATACATGGCTATTCAGTTGCGGAGTCTGGATCCAAACCTTGGCCTCACTGACCCCAATCAACATACCGTACCATGCAGTGATAAAATATCCCCTCCAGGCTCGGCGCCTATAGCTCAACCGGCTAAGGCGCCAGCCACGTACACCTAAGGTGG